TCTGTTCCCTTGGGCACCAACTCTTTCAGGGAAACTTTATCTAGATCCCTATTCCTCTAAAGAACTCACGATTCAAAAGTTGAGATGGAATTCTGCCTGCTCAGAGAGGCTGAATAGCAAGTAGCTAACCTTCTCCCTTTGCTTCTTCCAAAAAACCCAACCATCCTTCTTAAGGATCCCCGATACATGTGGTTCCTCCCTACCACTTCCTGTCAGCTACTTGCTGACTCAGCCTCCTGCTCGCAGGTGAATTTTATTTAATCAAACAAATGTAATACATTTTTGCATTGTTATCAAAAGTAGTAGGAAAAAAGGCAACACACTCTAAAACAATATTCCACAACACCAACCACCCCATTTCTGTGCTTCATTCTCTTAGGTGGAATTGGCTGTGTGGGCCGAGACAAGGGACAAGTTCGGAAATGCCTTGATGTGGTGGAGATCTACAACCCTGATGGGGACTTCTGGCGGGAAGGCCCACCTATGCCAAGTCCCCTCCTCTCACTGCGAACCAATTCCACTAACGCAGGTGCTGTGGATGGCAAGCTCTATGTCTGCGGGGGATTTCATGGAGCAGGTACCACTCTAACTATAAATACAGCATGGACCTCTTGGCTTTGACTTTTACCTCCATTGTATGACTTGATGGTCAGTGCTTGCTTTTAGGAGTAGTGAGGCACTGGAAAGAGTCTGGCCTTCAGAGCCCACTGGCCTGCAGCAGCTCCCTTGGTTCTCTGGGGTTTCATCTTTACAAAATGGTGAGGATTCTGTGGGTTCGAGTCTAATACATCTAGCACATGGCAGCCATTCAGACCATAATAGTTGAGTATGAAGGGGAAAGAAATAGAAGAGGAAGGCAAATTCCCGTTAGTAGGAATAAAAGAAAGATTTCCAAACAGAAGGGACATGGAAGCAGAGGGATGAGCAGAAGCGTTGGGTGTTAGGTTTTTAGCTACCAACCCAGAAAACCCCACTACTGCCCACTACCAACAACTGGAGTAAATTGCTTGAATGCATTTCTAAAATGATGCCTAGTGTATATTCTTATTACTGAACATACACATCCAATACCATCATTGCATTCTGCAACATGGAGCAGGGAGGCTTTTAAGCACGCATAAATCTAGAGGCCGATGTCTCTAAAGTCTCATTGACTGCATCAATAAATAAGGCAGAAAGCCTTCATAGTAGACTGACTAGCTGATTCTGACTTCACCAACTGGAGTGTTGAGCCAATACATACCCATGAGACACATGCCCCAGAGCACTTAAAAGTTTGAAAGAAGCCAGATTAAAATAGACTTGCCTTCATTTTGTAAGCATACAGTTTTAAGTAACTATCTTAGAGAATGAGGCTTTCATTGTGAGTTAGAAGAGACTTGCTGGGAAGTGGTGGTGGCACACACCTTTAATCCCAACACTAGGGAGGCAGAGGCAGGCAGGCAGATCTCTGTGAGTTCCAGGACAGCC